TATTTGTGCATTATAAATGGAAACTAAATGTCTTCTTCATGAAAAAATACAGAGTGATTAAGTGTGTGAACGAAATCACTTATTTGAACATCTTTTCATATTTAATTGGTTTTATTCTTGATAATAATAAAACCAAGTAAATGAAATGCAAAATGTTGATTGAAGTGTAATGGCTGAAATATTTACATGTATGAAAGAGTTAGGGTAAATTTATAGTCTTATGATGGCAATGGGCTGCTATTATTGGATGTATGTCCTTAAAGCTATCAGTGGCCAAATGCTACGGGAATAGAACCATACTTGGTACTTATTCATTTACTGATTTTTATTTGTTTGGGTGTATAAAATATCCTGAAACTGCTGTCTTATGACTTGTCTGTTTTTGTTTTGGATCATTTGTGTGACCATCATCAGCCTACTCTTTCCTTCTTTAGAGTGCATATAGTAATAACATCAATGTAGAATATTGAGTTAAAATTATGGAATCTTTCTATATTCTGGTACCATGTACTTCACTTAATGTTTTTGACAAATATGTGATTTCAGAATTTATCAAACTATTTTGTTTTACTTGATTTAGTTTTGTACTCTTTTGAATCAAATTATAGCAAAGTACGTTGATTTCAAGTGCTATGTCTTATTTTCCAGAATGGTTTAGACCTTATGAGTGTGTGTGAGGGAGAAGGGCTCAGTGACTGAACAACCTCCTTTTGCTGCCATTTATCTGCTCTTCTTGTAAAGAAGTAAATTGGTAAATTGATCAGATCATATTTCCTGCTTTTTTTTTTTCAGGTTTCTTCTCTTAAATCAGGACTCGGGGTAGCTAAGGCAAGAGGATTAGATCAAGCCAAGCTGGAGCAACTGAGCAACTTACTCAGAACTTGTCTATTAAAAAGCTATATATATATTTACATATAAATATATATAATACATACATATAAATATATATGTATATATATTATATACATATAAATATATATGTATATAATATATATACATATATGTTTTGGGAATGTAATTTAGTGCAAAAGCCCTAGGTTTATTTCTCAGTAGTGTGTGCATGTGCGCACATGTGCATACATATACAAAATCAGGACTCAGTTTTTCTTTTCCGTTTCTACCTCCAAGTAGGAAGCAAACTGGATTTTAACTTATAATGAAGTTTAAAGGGGTGATAAAATCAACTTTAACAAAATGACCACAAGTGAAAACCAGACAATTTAATTGATGTCTGCTTCTAAGTACAAATATTTTAAAAATCTGTTTAGAATACATTGCTTTTTATAAACATGATTAAGATCAACAGATTTCATCTACAGAGCTGTACTATGTCAAAAACCAACTCAGTGGAAGTTTATAGAAATTAATTGAATCAAAGTCCTTTATAAACAGGTTACTTTTGCAAAGAAAACAGGAAAATATAATGCTCTAGATTTTAGTCAGAAGTCCTGGGTAGATTTGAGAAATATGTTGTTTATGGCATGATCATAGCAAAAATATTCATTTCCCAAAGATTGCTAGGGAGTTTATGGAGTCCAGTGGCCATAATGTAGTGTTTTGTGTATCCTAGTTTCCTTCCTGCTTGGAATCTCACTTGTTATACTCAGCCCATCTTTCATAGCACAACCACCTTGAGAGGGTGAAGATCTTAGGTGGCAGAGCCTGAATGACAGTTGTATCCTGCTTGTCTTACTTGATGCTACTTTCATTCTTACATCTTTGGGATTTCCATCTAGGCACTGAAGTCAGGAATTTAAAGTTTCATAGGAAATCATGAACGTTTGTACTTTTAGGACTTGTATTCGAAACAAATGAAACAAAATTTGCTTGGGATTGCTTTTTAGATACTCTATAGGCAACTTAATTTTGAATTGTCCAAAGCTTAGCTAAGGAGCATTCCTTCAGAGTTTTTAAGCCTGTCACTTTATGAAGTTGGATTACTGGAAAGCTATATATTAGGGCCACATTTCAGGAGTCTTCCAAATAGTTGCCTTAAAAAAGTTGTTATTTAATAGTATGGCCTTGCCCTTTATGAGAAGATAGAAGGCTGTATAACAACCATATCTCTTAGCTTTTGTAAATTGCAATTGCATTCTGCAGGTTATATTAGTTCTTACTTGTAATCAAGATTTGTGTGATAAAAGCTTAGAGCTTGAAGTTTTTCTATCTCTTTTCACATCTGGTATCTTTTCCTTTATTTGATATTGAGTAGTTTATAGCTCAGTAGTTTCCCACTTTGAGGGGCTTTCTAAGAATCACAAAACCAAATTGATTATAACTTGGTAAAAATCCTTACTAATGTTTTTATTTATTGTTTCATGTTCCTGTCTCATTTTCATATCTTTTCTGGAAATAGGAAGTATGTAAATAAGGGAATAAATTAGATCATTTCATTCTGAATTTGAATATGAGAATAAGCAGTACTTAAGCTGTTTTCAGTTGGAAATCTCTTAAATCATTACCCCAATTCAGAGAACTCATACTGTTCCACTCTGAATACAGTTGGCGAGTGGCTGCTGTACTGGAAGAAATGGAAACCAAGGCTGGACCTCTGTGCTCCATGTGTCATTGGAAACCCACAAGCTGGGGGTTCATACTGAGCAAGGAGATTTAAAGCATTGAAGGAGATGGGGTAACCTCCATTCCATTTTCATATTCCAAAGTGAAAGCTATTGCAACCACAGATGTCTGCGTTGTAGGTTTTGCTTTGTTTTTAGTTTTGTTTTTCCTACAGCATCGGGACTCAGTTTGGACTTCTTTCTTCAGTATTGGGAAGTAATCTCAAGATCTTCTCTAGAATATTTTTGGCATTACCACAGTTGTAGGTTATACAGAAATTCCTTGAATATGCTTTTCAGGTTGGTGAGGCAACTAATGTTTGCATTGCACCTTTATCTTCCACGAACATTGATGAAATATGTATACTTTGGTTCACTGACTTAAGCTAAAGAGGATAAAAATGCTAAATATTTATCCAAATGAAAAGATGACTTTTTGGTGTTTAAAATTTTATTATTATTAGGAGAGCATATTTTAATGAATTAATTGATTTCTTTTAAAATTATAATGTATCTTAAAGAAAAATGATTGAGTCATAAAATGTGTTTGTTCTCTCACAGGATCCTGGTTATTGGGTGAAGATTCATCACTTAGAGTATACAGATGGAGGAATCCTGGATCCAGATGATATCCTGGCAGATGTTGTTGAAGACAAAGATAAGGTAGACAACTAAAAATGTTCTCTTGGTTTTGGAACCATTAACAATTTGTGTCAATTATTCTTAAAAGATACCGTCTGTTCAGGTGTTACTTGGACAGCCCATAAATCAAAGTTTCTCATCAGATATGTGAAAAAATCTTGTCAGGGTTTGAGAACCTGTTGTGGTGGCCTAATTAGCAGACACTTCACTCCCAAGAGTTCCTGATACATCTCAATAAATTAGTGTCAGCTGCTGAGGCTGTTGGATTTCTCCTCCTTGCTGTGGGCTTTGGAACTTATTTCTGGCCCTTGCTACATATTTCATTTAATATTTGAGGTTTGAAAGTGTTTCACAGCACAGAATACAACAGTGATATGGCACAATGTTCACTACACTATGGTGGAGATTTTTCTTACAGTAGCTGGCATGGCGAACAACTATTTGAATGACAGGGGTTTTTTTTCATTGCTAAAGTTAAAAGCACTAAATAGCATTAAAAAGTTTGACCATGATCTGCCACCTGGTTGGGATTAATTCCATTGCAAATATATATATTTTACTGTAATTTTTCTTCTGATACTAAACTGAGAAAGGTGTAAAAGTAAATTATTCATTTGCAACATGGTGGATATTGCTGTAGAAGCACATTGTTTAACACTAACAATGGGTCAGGCTGCTCTTATCAATGGCAGATGTGTTTCCTAAATTGAACTGTTTCTAAAGTTTGTTCTGTACATCCTTAACACTGTCTGTACCAGGCTAATTCATATTTATAAAAATGTTTCTCTCTATTGTTTCCTGCAATCTCATGTTGGGTGCATGTGTGTTGTACACAGGTATTTGAAACTGGAGAAGAATACAAATAAGTAATTTATTGAACTCAGATTACATTTACAGTTTTTTCCATAAGATCTTTTCAGACTGTTTAAATTTACATTCTTCTCTGCAGAGATTCTATACATTTGCTTTTCTTATGTTCTTTTGGAACTCAGACTTGTTGCTTTGCATGATAATTAGCCATTTGTTCAGAGATTTAACTCCCTTAGTAGATTGCCATCTCCTAGAGGACAGATACTTAGAGATTTTAATTTCTCTTGTGTTCCTTATATTGACAGTATCTGGTACAATATCTTACACAAGCTGGATTCTTGATAAACACTGAATTAGTGAGTGAAGAAGAAAGCTTTACGCTCTATATGCATCATGTGCTTATATAATTTTGATGAACATTTTTTGTTTATTTAGGTGGTCTCATGCTAAAGAAGAATGTATGGTTCACCCTTAGAACACTAAGGGATTTCACTTGCTTTTCCCAGATTTACTTTCTCCTACATCCCAAGGCCCTTTTTCTTGCTCTGAAATATTCTATGTATTTGGGTTGTTTATTAATGAAGAAGGTAGTTCCTGTCTCTCATTTCATAATGTCAGTGTATTAAAATGAAAAGCTGAAAAATTGCAAATTTAAGAAGGGCCAGAAGAAAATATCTTGCCCCAGCCTTGTCCAAGACCTCATTATAGAAGAATGATCCCATGAACAATGCCCAGGGAAATAATTTGTCTAACACAAGTCTTTCCCCTACAGCCTTCACTTTAACTATCTCAGTAATGCTCTTTTTTTTTAACCATAACTGTTTAATAGGCACAGAAACAGCTTTATTATATCTGCACTTTAACAGGACACTACCACCCTTACTAAATATGGTGACAGTGTGAGATAATCAGTTAAAATCTTAGCAGAGAATTCATACGGCTTGGGTATAGATTTAACCATTCTCTTAATGTTTAATATTTCTCCATGAAGCCTAACTAGTTTTGTTCTGCAGAGTTGATGAGTATTTACTCTTTCAATGTTGCCAGAAAAACATTGCATTCCAATTTTTTTCCTTTTAAGAAACATGAGTGAAAAAGAGAGCATTAGTTTTTTTTTTTTTCTGACATTCCTTCTCTGCAATTATAAGATTTCCTTATGGTGTATATGTCTAGTGTGGAAAGAAAGCTCTGTCAGACTTCATTTTATCTTACCTTTTTGTTGGTTTAGATTAAGCAGTAATTATAAATGGGGATCTGTGGATGTTTAGTGACATATCAAAGTCAAGACCCTTTGAGGCAGCATTTGGCTTAGATAAAATGACAGCTCACCAATTTGCAACTGGCTATCCGGTATTCTTTTGCATTTAGAATATGGATAGAAAGCAAGCACAAAGAGGCCTGTGCAGAATTATTGTGCTAAAGCCAGAACACTTCAGTCCCTAAGAAAGACTCAGTACAGGTACAAATGGCAGTAAGGAACTGTTGATAGCTTAGGTGCAGAGGGGAAATAGGCACTTAGAATGTAGGCCATTGAGTTTATGGAAAAGCCTTTGAGTACATGTCAGTAAAGGCTAAAGGAAGGTTGATCTCTTTAAAATCAGAGAAAAGCCTAACAGAGTTTAGTCAGTTTTCTGAAGAAATGACTAGAAATTTCTGTCCTAGAGGGTGTGTCTTTGGTGTTACTCCTATTGTTCCTTTGGCTGAGACAAGGCTTAGTGAATAAATGCTTTCTTTCTAGAGGTTTTTTTTACATTGTTACACTATTTCAATCCTATAATTTGTCAAATATTAAAATAGTTTTGGAATCTTACATCTTCTGATAACTAGTATTTGTATAAAATGTTGTGCTAAAAGTTTTATTTACTTCTGATAATTATTGTCAAGATCCTTCAATTTAGGCATTGGTCTGATGGTTAAAATTCTTTGGGATAAATACCTATGAAAAACAACTTTACAGTATTGTCTTCTCTGGCTGCTAAAGGCAGCCACTTAATTCACCCAGTAATGATGAAACATTTTACAATACTGATGTCTTTATTATTTTTTTTAAAGCAACCCGGCAGGCAAGAGCCATTATTATCTCTGTTTTTAGTTTCTAAAATAGCCACAGAGACTGTCGTAACTTGTCCAGGATCACACTTATAAGTAGCAGAACCAGAATCTAGAATCTATAATTTAAATTTCCAGACTTTATTTTTTTCTATGATGTGCCAAGCAGTATATTAGATGTTTGTATGAAATTGTATTGGTGCATGTTCATCAATCATAAATAAACATGAAATTTTCTTTAATGCAGTCTTCACTATTGTTAAGAAATAATAGGTAGTAGACTCAACTATGGGATACAACAAAATTAATTAAAAATCAATGTCATATATATTTAATTCATTTTAATTCTCTGCCTGAAGCTTGCATCTAATTTCTCATAAAGTCCTATCCATTTTACTTGTTTTCTCTGGTTTCCCTTTATTCAGGGCCCAGATTACTGAATTCAAATGCAGTCTAATCCCAGATGGATTTTGTAGACTATTTTTGGCATTTAACTAACATATGCAATTTCAAGGAAGATAAATACTGTATTCTAGAAACCACTTTTCAAATGAATTTAGCATGTGCACAAATTATAAACTGTGCCATCTTCAGTAGGCAAAATAATATCCCTCCACCCCATGATGATATGGGAGATAGCATAAAAGGATTACTCATCCAGCTTTGAAGATGGAGGGAGGGGCCGCAGCCAAAAAAATGAAGGTGGCCTTGGGAATCTGTAAAAGGCAAGGGAATGGCTTCTCCCCTTTAGCTTCTAGAAAGGACCTCAATTTTAGCTCAGGAGCCCCATTTCATACTTTTTTTAGAACTGTAAGATGATAGTCACTAACTTTGCAGAAAATTGTTATAGCACCATTAGGATACTAATACACTGCCTCTTATCCTATTTTGGACTTTTAAAGTGATGTTGGTCTTTCCAAGTTCCATACCAACTTGGCTTAGAGACTTCTTGAGACAAGAGAAATACCTTGTACTATACATCAGTTGGTTGCTTTATACCTTCCTTTCAATGTCCATCACAAATTGATATTCTCTGTCTCTTGATTGTTAAGCTCTTGTATTGTTTGGTGTATAAATCATTTCAAAGCCACAACTAAACACATGGGTATTCACTTATCAGTTTCTCATTGCAATGTGTAAAGTTCCTAAGAAGTCTGAAGACTTAGCTTAGTAAGATACTGCAAAGCTTGATGTTCACTCACTGGTATTCTTTAGACTGAGTGTGAGAGCCTCTGAGTGATTATATTCCATGTTAATTGTCGTTATTTTGGGGGGTTATTTTTTTTTGGCTAGGTTGAAGAAAACTTCCTCAAATATGGCAATATACAAAATATAAATGGAGTTACTGCTGTGGTTTTATTAAATATACAAAAGTAAAAGTGTATTACATAGTAAGCTAACATAGGAAGATGTCTGTATTTTTGGTTAAGCTTTGCCTATTGTAGGGGCTCAGTTTGGAGAGGTATCAGGGATTCTTGTGCCAGAGATTCCTGGATCACATGTGAGATCTGGCATTTAAATATTACAATTTTGGTGTCATTCTATCTCCTTTTTGTTTTCTGTCCTTGGGCAAGTTTCTTCATGTACATTAGCCTCACTTTCACCGTTTGTAAAATGGACATAATGTTAGATCTTATAGTGATAACATAGAAAACTATATAGGCAAACTGTATAAAGTTTTAAGTATAGTACAATATAATAAATGTTAGCTTCTATCTTAATAGTATTAAAGTAGTGCTATTGTAGTTTTTACTTTTGTGCTTTGAGTTAAGCGTGTGTGTGTTTGTGTGTGTGTATGAGACTAGGGATAGAACTCAGGGCATTTTCACTGAGCTGTATCCTCAGCCTTTGTTTTAAATTTTAAATTTTGAGGCAGCATTTATCTAATTCACTAAGTTACCTAGGCTGGACTCAAACTTGTGATCTTCCTGCCTCCATATCCCTAGTGCACGTGTATACTACAGTGCCTGGCTAGTTTTTTTTTTTTTTAATTTTTTCTATGTAAGTGATAAAACATCACATAAACTATTTTACTATACATTTTAAGTTTTAAGAAAACTTATTTAACAAATTTTATTAAAAGTTACTAAATTGTCCAAAATAGTTTTATGAGAAGATACTTGATTACTGTGACAAAACATTTGTGTTAATGTATTATTGTT